AGTGTTCTCCTCCAAATCCAAGAGGAACTCTTTGAGTTTTAAAGATATCTATCGAAATAGATTTCATATTGAGACAGTAGATGAGAATAATCTCGAATATCTCATCATTACCAAGAATGTCTATATTGGACAAGAATTAGTGCAATTGAGGCACATTATATCGTAAACCAAAAGGTTACTGATTCCAATACTTTTGTACTTTGTCATGATCGATTGGGACATCCTGGATCAATTATGATGAGACGAATTATAGAAAACTCGAATGGGCATCCATTAAATAATTTAAAGATTCTTTTAAATAATAAATTTTCTTGTACTTCTTATTATCAAGGCAAGTTAATTATTAGACCATCACCAAAAAAGATTGGGATTGAGTCCCCTGCGTTCTTGGAACGTATACAAGGGTATATTTGTGGACCTATTCATCCACCTAGTGGGTCGTTTAGATATTTTATGGTCTTAATAGATGCATCTTATAGATGGTCTCATGTGTGTCTTTTGTCATCTCGCAACCTGGCATTTGCAAAATTAATGGCACAAATAATTCGATTACGGGCACAGTTTCCCGATAATCCAATTAAGTCTATTCGATTTGATAATGCTGCTGAGTTTTCATCCCAAGCATTTAATGATTATTTCTTATCAATTGGAATAAAAATGAAACATCTTGTAGCTCATGTTCACACTCAAAATGGCCTTGCAGGGTCTTTGATTTAACGTCTGCAATTGATAGAAAGACCGTTACTCATGAAAACGAGATTACCCACTTCTGTTTGGGGTCATGCCATTTTGCATGCTGCAACGCTAGTTCATCTTAGACCGACAAATTATCATAAATATTCCCCGTTGTAATTAGTTTTGGGTCATGAACTAAATATATCCCATTTAAGAATTTTTGGGTGCACAGTATATGTGCCTGTAGCACAGCCATATCGCACCAAGATGGGTCCCCAAAGAAGGCTAGGGATATATGTTGGGTTTGAATTGCCCTCCATTATTCGCTACCTCGAAACATTAACTGGAGATTTATTCACTGCTCGATTTGCATATTGTCGATTCGATGAGGTATTTTTCCCAAAATTAGGGAGAGAAATTGGTGAAATCAAACGGAAAATTTTGTGAAAAATCCATCATTGTCTCATCTTGATTCACGTGCCTCTATTTGTGAAAAAGAGGTACAAAATATTATTCATTTACAGAAAATAGCAAATCAAATGCCAGACGCATTTACGGATCTGAAAAGGATAACGAAATCACATATCCCTGCAGAGAATGTTCCAATCCGTATTGATGTCTCTGTTGGACAATCTTCTAGTGTCATAGCTAATGAGTCAAAAACACGCCTAAAGCGTGGTAGACCATTGGATTCTAATGATCGAAATCCTAGAAAAAGAAAAATAAATGATCAAGATGACACTACGAATAAGTCTCATAAAGAAACCCATGATTTAACCAATCCTGAAATTCATGAGGAAATCAATGATCCTTAGACTCAAGAAAATAAGGAACTATCAATAAACCCAATCGATATTGAGACAGATTTGAATCGATTGAATATAGTTGTGGATTATGTCTTTGCATACAATGTTGAATCTAGCATTATGCAAGATAATGAGGATCTTGAACCTCAATTGTTGGAGAATGTCGACAAAGACGTGATTGGCCAAAATGGCAAGAAGCAATCCAATCTGAGTTAGTTTCACTTGCGAAACATGAAGTTTTTAGGTCTGTAGTCCAAACACCTAATGGTGTTAAACCTTTTGGCTATAAATGGGTCTTTGTATGTAAAATGAATGAGAAAAATGAGGTACAAAGATATAAGGCACGCCTTGTTGCACAAGGATTTTCACAAAGGCATATTGGCGATTATGAAGAGAAGTATTCTCCTGTTATGGATGCTATAATGTTCCGTTATCTCATTAGTCTTGTTGTCCATGAAAATATTGACATGAATTTAATGGATGTGGTTACAGCTTATCTTTATGGCTCACTTGATAATGAGATATACATGAAAATTTTTGAGGGATTTAAAATGCCTGACACACATAATTCAAAGTCCCGGGGAAATATTTTCAATCAAATTGCAAAGATCTTTGTATGGTTTAAAGCAATTAGGAAGAATGTGGTATAACCGCCTTAATGAGTATTTATTAAAGGAAGGTTATATAAATGATGCCATTTGTCCATATATTTTTATAAAGAAAATAATATCGGAGTTTGTTGTACTTGATGTATATGTTGATGACATAAATCTTATTGGAACTCCTACAGAACTCCAAAAGGCAATTGATTATTTAAAGAAGTAATTCGAGATGAAAGATCACGGAAAGACAAAATTATGTCTTGGTTTGCAAATTGAACATTTTGCAAACGGTACTTTTGTTCATCAATCTGCCTACATAGAAAAGGTATTGAAACGGTTTTACATGGATGGAGCACATCAATTAAGTACTCCGATGATTGTTCGATCACTTGACGTAAATAAGGGCCCGTTCCGACCTCAAGAAAAGAATGAAGAACTTCTTGGTCCTGAAGTACCATATCTTAGTGCAATTGGTGCACTAATGTATCTTGCTAACACTACAAGGCCTGACATAACTTTTTCAGTTAATGTCTTAGCAAGATATAGCTCTGCTCCTATAAGGAGACATTGGAATGGAATTAAACACATATTGCAGTATCTAAAAGGACTACCGATATGGGCTTATTTTATGGCAATGATTACAGTCCCGATCTTGTTAGTTATGCCGATGTTGGGTATTTATCTGACCCACACAAGGCTCGATATCAAACTGTCTATGTGTTTACATGTGGAGGCATTGTACTATCTTGGCGATCGACTAAGAAATCAATCGTGCCTACTTCATCTAATCATGCTGAGATAAATGCTATTCATGAAGTAAGTCGAGAATGTGTATGGTTGAGGTCTATAATATACCTTATTCGAGACAAATGTGGTTTGAAGTATGACAAGCTACCCAAAATTTTGTATGAAGACAATGCAACATGCATAGCCCAATTGAAGGGAGGATTCATAAAATGAGATAGGACAAAGCACATTTCACCAAAGTTATTTTTTACACATGATCTTCAAAAGAATGGTGATATCAATGTGCAACAGATCCGTTCAAGTGATAATATGGCTGATTTATTTACCAAATCTCTACCGACGTCAACCTTCAAGAAATTAGTGTACAAGATTGGGATGCGAAGGCTCAAGGATGTAAATTGATGCTCTCATCATGGGGAGTTAACACGCGGTGTACTTTTTTTCTCTTACAAGGGTTTGTCCCACTGGGTTTTTCTTGCAAGGATTTTAATGAGGCAACATGTGTACTATTTTTCCTTCACTAAGATTGTTTTGTCTAATAAGGTTTTAACGAGGCACATTATCTGTGGACATCCAAGGGGGAGGGTGTTATAAGAAATTATGGTGGATGCCTATCTTCCTCCATGATCTTCCTCTCAAATGTTTAATGACATATTTCTTCATTTTTCATGCCTATATAAAGGCATTGTAATAGATGGAATGAACACACAATTGAAGAAGAAATAATAATCTCTCCTCTCTTTCTCTCTATATCTCTTAGCATATTTTTTTCCTTGTTTTATATTGTTACCTTGAGCTATATTTCATAACATGATTAAATTTTTCAATACTTTAGAGCTCCTTCTCGTTACCTTCCAATTAGTAAATTCCAAGTCAACGTAGACTTTCATTTACAACTACAGGAGTTGATTACTCAAATGGTCACTCAACTATCCCAAATTATCTCCTAAAGTCACTTTTCTTTCGTTTGTAACAACAAAGTTACTTAACTATGCATATAGCACTCACAAGGTCACTCAACTAGATCTTTCAAATTTTTGATTGTCAAATACCTATTTTACCCTCTAAATTATTTTTTTTTTAACTTCTTAAATATTACTCCCTCCGTCTCAAATTAGATGAGGTACTTTCCTTTTTAGTCTGTTCCAAAATAAATGACACGTTTCTAAATTTGGAAATAATTCAACTTTAAACTCTTCATTTTACCCATTTTACCCTTAATGAGAAGCTTTTATAACCACACAAATGTCATGGCCTCACAAAGCTTTTACCCTTTAAGCTTTTAAGACCACAAGTTTTAAAAGTCTTATTCTTTTTCTTAAACTCTGTGCCGAGTCAAACTAGCTCATCTAAATTGAACGGAGGGAGTATAAGTTTTTTCTCTTTTTAATCTCCATTGTGGACTTGCCTATAGAAAAATATATTTTATTTATAAAATTAAAAAAATAGTTTTCAGCTCATATAATGACAGAATAATAATATAAGCATAAATTTCAACAATATATAATGTATATTATAAAAATACCTTTATTTAAATAATTATTTTTATGTTACGTGCATGGAATATATATTTTACAACCTTTATTTTCTTTCATTCTCAATTGTGTAAATAATTTTTTTAATTTTTTTTGTTAATACTAAAATTATTACGAAAATTTTTTCTAATTAAGTTTTTTACTATACTCATTATTTTATTATTCCAGCATTATATATGCTTAAATATTTTTTATTTTTTTAATTTATAAATAAAATTTATTTATTATATAGGTAAGTCCATAGTATAAATTAAAAAGGGAAAATTATAATATTAAAAAGTTAAAAAAATAAAAAGAAGATAAATGTTTATAATTTAGAGGGTAAAATAGGTATTTGATAATCCAAAATTTGAAAAATCTAGTTGAGTGATCTTCTGAGTGCTATAGTTATATTTAAGTGACTTTGTTGTTAGAAAAAAAAGAAAAGTAACTTTAGTAGATAATTTGGGATATTTGAGTGATATTTGGGATAATTGAGTGACATTTGAGTAATGAAAATATAGGTAGAGTTGCTCTCCACCACATTTAGTTTGAGCTTTCCATCTTCCTTGCTATAAAAATATAACCCAATTAAATATCTCATGTATTCTGTTTTCTACTCTTGACTGGTAAATCCTTTAATTATTTGGCATATTACTTATTTTCCTTAGATGAATTAATTGGTAACTATGTTTGTTCATGCAAGCGTAGACTCACACAATTTCTTTTTCTTTTTTCTATCAAATCTGACCAGATAGCAGCTTAGTCTTTCAACGACGTGAAGGTATTACTTCTTTCAGTTCATTTATTTTCCTATATGTACTGTTTCCTGTATAGTTTGTGTTTCGAGTGAATTTACTACAATCGTATATTGATATGGTGGGCAAATCCCGTCAATTTTACCATAAATCACTAGATCTGTTAATTTTAGTTGGATATTCGTCTCGCAATTATGGATAAAAGTGAAGCAAAAGCTAGGGAAAAAAATGAGCTAGAAGATACTGATTGTTTTTAGTAGTAGTAGAAGCTTTAGTGAACAGAAGATTTAATAGTTTATAATTCCTAGGAGTAATTGCCTGATATTTCCTGCAGTAATTTCTTTCAAGTAACAAGAAATTAGTTGATAATTATTTTATCAACAGAGGTGTATCCAGCTTACTGACACCGGGTTCAATTGAACCCATAATTTTTCATGTGGAACATAAATTTATATGCAAAAATTGCAACAAATAGTATATATGAACCCATAATTTTATAAATACAATGAGTTCATGGCAAGAACCTTAACGGTTGAACCCATAGAATTTAAATTCCGGATTCGCCTCTGACTATCAATTGTATACATTAAGAGTGAATCATCATATACTGTTGAAGCGATGATTCAAATGTCAAACTTCACGTGCTACTGAGTTTGCTCAAGATGAAAAACTTTTCCAGCACCTTAAGGTTGAAGTACTAATAAGTGTTCTCTTTTTCTGCTGGCTTTGTTTTGTTAGTACTAGTGATGGAGGCATTATCATTCCTCAAAGAAAAAGTATGGGATCCATACATGGGACTCGAGGAAAAAATGGAAACCCTTAAAAGAAAGATGGAAGCATTGATCAGTCGAAGGGATGATGTAATGGTTCAAGCAAAAGACGTTGAACTCCATTCAAGTAAGAAACGGAAGACAGAGTTTGACAATTGGCAGAGCTGCGTACAAAAAATAGAGCATGACTTCAAATGCTTTGAGCTAAAAATACAACAGAGTTCCAACATTTCGCGCATAGGGTTGTCAAATGATGCTGATAAAATTCATAAAGAAGTGGAAGATCTCCTAGACCAAGGTAAATTTTCTGAAGGGATTTTGCTCAATGTAAATGAAGAAAAGATACAACCTTTGGTGACAACAAACATGAAAGGCCAAATATTTTACCAGAGTATGAGGCAGGTTCTATTGTCTTTGAATGGAGTTTCAAGTATTGGCATTTATGGAATGGGGGGTGTGGGGAAAACGACTCTTGCGGAGCATATTCATAACCATCTCCTCAAAGATTCAAGATTCTCAGGTAACGTTTATTGGGTCACTGTATCACAAGATTTTAGCATTACTAAACTGCAAAGTGAGATTGCTAAGGCTCTGAAACTTGATTCAACTGAGGACGACGATAAGAAAACGGCAGCCAATTTGTACCAAAGTTTGGAGAGAAAGATAAACTTTGTGCTCATATTGGATGATGTATGGACCCATTTTGATGTAAAGAAGGTGGGAATTCCTTTGGATATTGGTGGAGGTAAACTGATCATAACTAGTAGATCGCTTGAGGTGTGTGACCGGATTGGCTGCCAAAAGAAAGTAAAAGTAGAAACTCTTTCAATGACTGAATCTTGGGGATTATTTGTGGAGACACTTGATCACAATGGAGATCTTCCAATGGAAATAGAAGAAATAGCAAAGAAAATGACAAAGAAATGTGATGGATTGCCACTGGGGTTAATTACTATGGCTGCAAGTATGAGAGGAGTGAGTGATGTTTTTGAGTGGAGGGACGCTTTCGAAGAATTCAAAGAATCGTGTATGCAAATGGAGACTATGAATGATAAGGTGTTTCCCATTCTCTGCTATAGCTATAACAGATTGAGGGATCCAAGATTACAAAAATGTTTTCTCTATTGCTGTTTGTATCCTGAAGACTCCGAAATTGAGAGAGATGAATTGATTCAGCATTTCATTGTTGAAGGATTGCTAGACAGAAGGAACAGCAGGAGAGCAGAATTTGACCAAGGTCATGCAGTGTTGAACAAATTGGAAAGGGCATGCTTATTAGAAAGTGTTGTGAATCGTAATGAAAAAAAGAAATGTTTGAAGATGCATGATTTGGTGAGAGAGATGGCATTGCAAATTGCAAGAGATGAATTTAAGTGGATGGTGAAAGTGGGAGCACAATTGCATGAAGTACCAGGGGAGCAAGAATGGCCAGAGGACTTGGACAAGGTTGCTTTGATGAATAATGATTTAAAGGAAGTTTCACTGCCCTTATCTCATGTACATCCGAGGCTTACAACTTTGTTATTACGAGGAAATTGTAGCTTGAATCAAGTTGTAGAACCTTTTTTTGCGCAGATGCCAGGTCTACGTGTTTTAGATTTAAGCTACACTGATATAGAAAAGTTGCCTAGTTCTGTGTCAAATCTGGTAAGCCTCTCTGCGTTGCTGCTACAAGGTTGTCTGAAACTCAGATTTGTGCCGCCATTGAACAAGCTAAAGAACCTCATTGAATTGGACCTTTACGGAACAATTATCGAGGAAGTGCCCCAAGGTCTAGAAAACTTGGTTAGTTTAAGAAGCTTGGACATGAGAAGAGACGGCTTTGCTTGTTTAAGAAGCCTGGACATGAGAAGAGACGAAACAACATGGACCCAGGCACCAGTTATGAAACCAGCTGTAGATATATTAGCTAGGCTCTCTAATCTTCAATCCCTTTCGGTTCCTTTTGTTGTACGAGTAGAAGATTTACAAGGGATGAGACAGCTAGAGATATTACATGGGAAGTTTGTTGATGTTTGTAGTTTTAATAGATTTGTCAAATATCGACAGTCTTGTGGGAAGCCGGCTTTGTTTGCAATTGCTTTAGATCCGAAACAATCTCTTGGTTGGGAATTAGATGGTCTCAGTAAAGATAATCGAGTGATTCTAAAGGACCTTGTTCTCACCGGAGACAATACGGAGATGCTATGCCACAATGATATAGGAGAAAGGGGAGATGTGACTCTTCTACCACTGGACACTCAAGAGTTACTAATTTGGTGCTGTGATTTTGGCAGCTTGGACAATAGCTTGTTAGATGCTATTCCATCTCTTATTCATTTCAAAGACTTGAGACATATTCAGATTACACTATGCAACGATATAGAGTTCTTATTTAGGTTAGCAGAAGCTTTGCCTCCAGTTGGAACCTTTTCTCATCTCCGTTGCCTTGAAGTTGTAAACTGTAATAAAATGAAGAAGCTAATCCCTAGGTGGTTGCTGCAATACCTCCTAAATCTGACGGAAATTAATGCATACTTCTGCTCAGAAATGGAAGAGATAATAACAGAGGATGAAGAAGAACAAGTCAACCAGTTGTGCGCAAGCGCAGTTGTTCCTTCAAATCAAAGCAAAAGCATCAACGATGATGAGGTTATTCTACCAAATTTGCAAATTCTTTGTTTATACGAATTACCAAAACTCAAGAGCATATACAAGGGAAGAATGACTTGTGGTTCTATTCGGCGTATACAAGTTGATGATTGTCCGAAGTTGAAGAAACTTCCATTTACTCTTCCTCTTCGAAATGGGCAGCCATCAGCTCCTCCAGCTCTTGAAATTATCAGAATCAATCAAGAAGAATGGGAAACTTTGGAATGGGACCATCCTCAATACAAGAATGTCCTCCTTCCTTTTGTCCGAAACCCCACCTAATTGTATATTCAAACCTCAAGTGTGTGTATATATATATAACTAAAGTGCAGCCCGGAGCACAAAGCATCCCGCGCTCACGCAGGGTCCGGAAAGGGTCGCACCCCAAAGAGTGTGATATAGACAGTCTACCCTACGCAAGTATAGCCGGCGCACAAAGCATCCCGTATTAACGCATGGTACGGGAAAAGCCGCATCTGAAGGGGTAATGATATAGACAGCCTACCCTAACGCATGCATTAGTGACTGTTTCGACGGCTCCAATCGATGACCTATTGATCACAAGAAAACAACTTTGCCTTTGCTCCAAAGTTCCCTGCCTCACGTACATATATCTACTCATTATTCTCATTTACTAAATTTTGTAACTTTAGGCTGAAGCAAATATATAAAGACAAAAGCTTCTCGTTACTGAAATCTAAGAACTGATTGCCAGCTTTCTAGGATTTCAATCAGTAGCAGATTGTGCCTTGGCGGAGAAGAGCAGCTTATAATGGGTCAATTCACCATTTTTCTATGACGAATCAGAGGCAACTTTAATTTGGGATTCCACAATTTGTGCCGTGGTGGTGGTTGTGGAGAAGAGCAACTTTTTTGTCTGTCTGTTTTTAAATGGCAGGAATTTAGAAGCTGTGATGTGGAATTCTTGTTAAGTCTGCGATTCTTCGCGTAGTTATGATTTGAAAAAGGAAGTTGCAATTCTTCTATGTCAATTTCCTCATTTGAACCACGACATATTGGGAAGGAATTCTGAAATCTATAATTATTAGTACTTGGTTAGCGATACTCCTTGAAATTAAGAACATAATTAAGTCTTGTTAACTAATCCACTGAAATTTGTAGCCCCAAAAAGGATGGGTGTCGAGAAAAAGAGGAGTTGGGGGCGGACGCCGTAAATTTAATTTCTACATACATATACACTCAGATCCCAACTCTTAAATGAGTTCTTCTGTCCTCAAACGTTTGGGTAATAGTTTAATTTCCAATCATTAACATTACTGGTTCTCTCTAAGTTAAATTAAATGTCTCTCACACAAGTCACAATTTGTTTGGCTGGAGAAACAGTTGAAATTGATGTATATATATATATACTCACCAATATACCATGGTTGCTTCTGTAGACAGTGTTCTAGTTTGACTTTAAAGGTAAATTTCACCAATTTTAAAAGTGATATCAGTCTTGACAACAACTTTAACATTTTATCAAAAGATGCGTTAATATTACTGGTCTGTTTGCATCTACTTGTCAAGAAATTGCTAGAAGTTTACAGCTAATTTTGTTAAGAGTAGCTCCTGTAACTGCAAACTGTATAGCCTGATTGTGTTTTTCATATGAAGCTAGAACTGTGTTGTCAGCAATATAGACGTTTCTTTTTCTTTTCTTTTCAGATGCTTTTTCATTCAGTGATCTATATTAGAAAGAAAGATTTCCAACATTATCCGATAATCGTTTTATACAAAGAATAAGCATGATTTGTAAAAGATGGAAACGATTCCCAAATGGTATTTCGGAAAGAACCTTGTGATGGAGTGAGAATTAAACAAGAAGATGACCTAAATAAACCCCCATTATGTAATGTATAGAACTAGACAACGTCCAAAACCACAGCAGGCTACCACAAGTAGGTGGTCTTAATCCTTGAAACTACAGAGAAAAGAACTGACCCCCTTTGGGTGTATACCCAACAATGAAAAGAATTTCATCGTTTCAAAAAATCTACTACACGATGACCAGACACTTTCCCTGCGGACACGAAGGAAAATACATGACTCCCTTACTAACTGATACTTTGAATCAGCTCTTTCTTCACCCACAAACAGAGAAGGCACGCCCAATCATCCCTTGGGTCCAAGTTGCTGTTTCTTTGAGCTGTTCATCATCAGATTGAAGACACTCACCCAACAACTCGGCGCAGAATACACGATCTTTGAAAAGGGTCGTAATATTTGGACCAAGTGTATCAGCTAAATCTCCCAACACAGCAACCGCTGCTTTTGTCACGCTTTCATCTCTATAAAAAATCAATATACATACAATTGTCAGAATTAATAAGCAGCAAAGACTTAATAAGAAGATGAGGTCAACGAAATAGAACAAAATTACCTTGGTTTGTCCTTGGCAACTAGTTCAATGAACTGCAGGAGATGAGGAGCATGGGGTAACATCAAATCAGCCTTGGAATTCTTAAATCCTTGAAGAATTCCTGAATATGCTTCAAAAATACTGCGCCTGAGCTGGTTGCCATACTCTAGCATTTCCTCATCACTGTTGTCTAACTGTGCACATAATTCGGAAGCACCTTGCATCATAGGCAATGCATATTGGAGGTACTTCTCAAAGTGTTCCCCAATGGCAAGAGCAATATCCCCAAAGCAGGAAAATATCGGAGGCTTTACAGATCGGTTAAGTTCGCCGCTAGACAGATCCTTCAGAAGAAGTGCCATCATCCCATCACAATATGGTAAGATCTTGTCATCCAAGGCACGGGAAATGTCACCAACAACCCCCACCGAGATGGAACACACCTGGTACTCCTCAAAATTTTGCAGGCCCATCTCCAGATATTTGTAGAACTCCGGCATATACTTCAAGAACTCCTGTCCAGTTGCATAAGCCAGAGCGCCAATAGCGAGCATGGCCTCTTCATGCACCGTCGAGCTACGACAAGCAAAAACCTTTAGGAACAACATCATGATCTGGTCGGCAACCTGAAGTAGAATGGGCTTAGTTTCATCAGCATTGCTAAGCTTCTGAATGATAACCTGGAGTACACCACAAAGGGAAGCCTGCAAATCTCCCTGCTTCTCCCTATCATCAGAGGATACAATCTGAAGCTCTACTGTTTGTGCCAACTTAGTCATGATAACAGGGCAAAGCTTCGCAATGATATCAGATGTTTCAACAAGGTTAGAACACCTAACAACTTCATTCAATGTTTCATATGCGTTAGTTCTGAGCTTAGAATCACTGCTGTCAGTCCGGTCAGCTGTGGAAATAAGAGAGCTGATAACCTCAGGAATATATGGTGTGAGCAAAGACGAGCTTGGCCCAGCATCCTCATATCCCTGTGCAAGAAAATAGATAGCCCCACAAACTTTCTCGGCAACATGGGAGGCATCTTTTAAACTCTCTAACAGCACTCCGACAATCCGCTGGAGGTTGGCTGGGGAAATCACTGAGAACCCAGAAGATGGTGTGTGCAGAAACTCAAAAATACGGCTAAGTGTCCATGCAGTGGTATCTCTTACATGGCTGTTTTCATCCTTCATCGCCTTAAGAAGAAAATCTAATCCAGCATGGACCATGGGAGAGAGCTTCTCAATGCTTGGGCCTTCAAGAATTGAGCCAAATGCATATGTTGCAGCCTCACGTGAGCGCCAATCAGGCTTCAATATATTAGCCTCAACAAAAGGCATTACCAGGGGAACAACAGCATCTCCAACAGTCCTGGCAACAAGACCAAGACATGTTCCACCAGCCATTGCCAGATTCCAAATATCATCATCCTGGTCCTGTTCCTCATCCTGCTTCAATAATGTTTCCAGCAGCATTGGAACAAGTGTTGGGAGGGCCTTCTCAATGAAGCAAGAGTGTTGCACACTAGAATCTCCGCTGTCAGGAACCTCATAGTCTTGCAATTCTATCTCTTCGTCACAGATGGAACTCCAGAACTCAATTGCTTGAAGAGCAACAGCCTCCTGATCTTCTCTGACTGCTTTTGCTGTCAGCTCAAAGACAGTCTGCATGTAAGGTTCAAGCAACTCATAGTATGTTGATGCAATAGAAACGAGACACTCAAATGCAGCCTGTCTAATCTCTGTCTCCTTTGCAATGGCTGCCTCACAGACGACCTTCATGATAAAATTCCTCTCCATCTCATTACCAAAGTTCGTCTGAGCAAAATCAAGAGCATTATATAAAGCCCTAGTAGCAGCAAGACGGACTTCAGGGCTTTGCTCCTCACCATTCATACCTTGCACAACAGCAGTGAGAACAGAGTTTACTTCATCTTGGACAAGATCTTGGTGTGATATCTCCTCACACACATAGCCAAGTGTTTCAAGGGTTGACTGTTTCAGGGACGGAGGCCTGCCTTGTTGGGTCATGTTAACAAGCAACGACCCAATGAGCTCTGGCCACTGTTTCTGGGGAATTTCAATCGAAGCCACCTTTGCAATTACTTGGGCAGCAGTGTGACTTGCCTCACGTACGGACGAACCTAGGGTGCTCAAGAGCAAGCTTTTAATTTGAGATTTACATTGAGCATCAATTGCCTGCCATTGTTGAACAAGCTGTTCTTTCCTGGCAGATTCTTTTGCATCTAGTGAGTTCTTTAGCACAATACCAGCCAGTCTTCGAGATTCAGTGGGTTTTCCATCATTGGAGAGCTCAACAGCCAATGACAGAAGAAAGCCTGGTAGGTTTTGTTCTCGGAACTGACCAAGACCAGTCTCTGCCTCAGACCGAATCTTAGCATCTGCTGATTGAGCAGCCAATAGAAACTGAGTGATGTCGAGAGCCATTTTTCCTACAGATTAAACCCGAAAGAAAATGTGAGGTGCTGTGGAATTTTTAGAATCCACAAGATATTTAAAAATTAGCAAGTCCTTTAAAGAGAAAGAGAATTCTCCTAGGACATAGGAGGCGAGGAGAGAGGTAAGATCAGAAAGCTAGTTAAATTGCATGTCCATTATAACAGTTAAAGAAATCAATTGTAAATTTGAAGTGCTGGCAACAGCAAAACAGAGCTAATCACTATTCTCCTATTCTATAAGACCCTCATAAAAAACATGACATCAAGCCGCCTTTACACAAAACTAAGTAAACCAGGCGCTCAATTTATGGATGCTTAGCGCCAAAGGGTCTTTGATTGAACACATTAAGACTACTATTCCGAAGCATCCCAACCATTTCCCATGCATGAATTTAAGACAAAACCTTTCAGGCGCACAAGAAACTGAAGACTCATAACTGATATTGGTACAGAACTTCCTACTCAGATACTTCATACTTCAAACAGAAACTACTCCCAAATCTGAAAATGCAATTATTTCTCTTTCTTCTTCTTCCATTTTTTTTTGGGGCTGACAATTACAGGTCCCAATTAGGCACAATGGAAAATTCTAGAATTTATGGATATCTAAAAATTAGGTACGTATTACAGAGAAGTAGAACACTCCTTCTAGGACATAGGAGGCAAGGAGAGAGGTAAATCAAAAGCTAGTTAAGTTGCATTCCATTTTACATATAACAAAATTGTGGACAACATTTTGAAGCGCTTGGCAATGGTAATGGATCAATTCAATATTCTATTAGGGGTCGTTTGGTTACCAGGATAAGGATACTAATCCTGGTACAGAATTTGGGATTATATCCCATGTTATTTGTGGGTATTAGCTAATACCTATATAAATTTTATAGCCAAACTTCGTATTAGATATCCCATATTGGATACGGGTTTATATTCCCGGGATAACCTTGTTTCAAATCAAACGGCCCTTTAATCCATAACAAAATGAATTCAAACGAAAGGTATCCCTTGATTGAACACAGAACTTTGTTATTTCTATTTTATTCCACATGTTTCAAGCAGCCTTAACACAGACATGAACTTCAGACGAATTCAAGCAGCTTTAACGCAAAATTAAGCAGACCAAGTAACAAATTGTGTATGCTTGGCACCAAAAAATGTCCTTTAATGGAACACAGAACCTCTTTGCCTCCTAAGCATCCCAGTGATTTCACACGTGCTTCAAACGAAACACATCAGGCGCACAAT